AGGTGCCTACTACCGCATAGCTAAGAATAACTTTTTAGAAAACCTAAACTTTTTACATTCTGCAGCTCTCCTCATATTGAAGCATTCATATCCAACTCTGTTTTTCACCTTTTCTAATGAAAGTATTCTCCAAAGAGCAAATTGGAATGGTTCCAATTATAGTTGTCCCCGCCTTATCCTGGGGGACACATTGCAGCACTCCCTAGTGAATGCCTGAAACAGAAGTCTATATACACTGCCGAAGCCTAAATATACTGTGCTTTTTAGATCTAATGGCCAAGACAGACTGATAGTGTATAGTGTATACAGCATGGATGCACTGGACAAAGAGATGATTCACATCCTAGGCAGGATGGTGCAAAGTTTTATTTTGCAACTCAGAACATACTCTTGCCCCATTTAAAACTTAGGAATTGGACGGGTGCAATGGCTCATGCCTGTAATCCCATCACTTTGGGAGACCGAGGTGGGCAGAATACTTGATGCCAGGAGTTCGAGACCAGCCTATCCAACATGGTGAAACCCTGTCTCTACCAAAAATGCAAAAATTAGCTGGGCATGGTAGCTGGGTGTGCCTGTAATCCCAGCTACTCAGGAGGCTTAGGTAGAAGAATCGCTTAAACCCAAAGGCAGAGGTTGCAGTGAGTCGAGATCAGGCCACTGTACTTTATCCTGGGCAACAGAGTGAGAATTGTCTCAAAAAAAAAAAAAAACTTAGGAATTGTTTATTTCTGGGATTTTCCATTTAATATTTTCAGACCTTGGGTAACTGAAACTATGGATAAGGGGGGATTACTCTAACGTGAACACTGTTTATTCTAGGTATGGAGGGCTGGTCACTTTCCTAAGACAGTGCCGTAGAACAAAACTTTTTACTAATTACTATGCTCAGGGCTTTATTATTTAATCACAAGATTCTAGCACCTCCCCTATCTTCCAAACTTTGATTTTTTGAACTTTAACATTTTGAAGTAGTATTGTGAGTCAGTTGACTATTACTAACTTGCAGAATATATTTTCTATAATTCTGTGACTAGGTAACTCTATATTGTGTATGTTTTTCCTCAGTTGAGAGGGAAAAGAGTAATTCTGAAAACT